TCTCATAGCATTATCAATAGGCCTTGAACGATTTGTGGTTGATGCTGTATTACTGGTTCTCTTAAACACCAAAGGAATGTCATCTTCATCTTCATCCTCGTACCCGTCATGACCATTTGGCACAACTGGCTTCACAAACGCCTCAGTGGCCATACCCAACAAGGCAAGTTATTCACAATCAAAACTGTTGACCAACAAAATCAAAAAGGAAAGAAATTTAATTTTTAGAATTGCAGCAAAACTAAATTAATAAATTTACATACTTTAACATTAATTTGCAAACCAAACCCCAGATATGCATCAAGACATTTCAATTGGTCTGAAGGAAACTTCAACATCTCCAATTATAATCCCATAACATATAAATAAAAATTGATTGAGTCAAAATTCAGAAAATCTGATATGTCAATGAATTGAATACGAACAAAGAATGATAAAACTGAAGCTAAGTTAAATTGAAAACTCGAATTCCCAAATTGGAACAAGAAACCCTAATTTTGAAAACAAACATGGATTTGTGAAATTGAGCTCAAATTCAATCAAAATCTGGACGAATTATTGAATTGATGCAACTACCTGAGGCCACGATGAAATCGGCGATGAAGAAGATATGAATCTCAGGACACGCCTCACGGATTTCTTACCTGCCTTTGATTTCTGTCCGTTTTTGTGTTGTAGAGGCTAAGTTAACGAAAGACTCTGGATCGGTCAGCGAGTCTTGACCCCTTTTGACTTTATTGCTTATACGACGTCGTCTTGGCGGAATGGATTTTTTTTTTTTTTCGGCAAACTATAACTTTGGGTTAGGTTATGAAGGCCCATTTTGGGAGATCCATTAACTGTTTTGGAAAATAGAAGAAGAGATGTTCCAACTGTCCATTTTAAATATTTTTATATTTAGGAAAAAACAGGAAAAAAATGTAATCCTATACTAATATTTGGGAAGTACATCATAAGGATCATAACGTTGATTTTGTAAGAAATTACAATATATGTCATTAGAGAATTCTAATCATAATCATTTTATTCCATGTCACTAATATATATTAACAGGTCAATAGGTCAAACGGGTTTAAAGATATTAAAAGATTTTGTTTATATAATTCATATCATTTGAAAAAATATTTCTTCAAACGATTACACAATTAATATAATTCGAAAATGTTATATACTAATCTATTATTCGAAAATTTTATCGAAAATATTATTGAAAATGTTATATAGTAATCCATTATTCGAACAAGTTATCAAAAATCTATATATACATTTTTGGAGAAGATTGGCCTCAAAAATTCTTTTACAATTTCAATATTGTACATTTAGTCCCTACAAATAAAATCTGAGAAAATATTTTTCTTAACCAAATTTACAAATAAATCTTAATAGTAAATAACATTAATTAGTTATAGCTGATTTACGGCAATATTTCCTAAGATTGCGATAACAAATTTGAGAGATTAATGCTATTAGAAAATAATTAAATGAAAATATTCAATAGGATCTTTCATTCTTAATTGGCTTTATTCCTAAAAATATTTAAACAAAATTTAGTTATTGATTTGCAAATATATAAATCGTATATGTAGTTATAACAAACAAATATTTTCAAATCAAATGGTTTCCTATTTGAATGCTAGAAAAAAAATGTAATAGTTTTTAATGCCATATCTAAAAAAACACAATAAATTGATATATTATTCTAACAAATCAATATTTAATGCTAACAATAAATTAATTTTATTCACGTTTTTAATTTAATGCTAATAAAAATTTAATTTTTTCTAACGTTTTTTAGTTGTGGTATTAAAGATTTATTGCCAAAAATAAAATAAAATTTGAATGCTAACAATAAACATAAATGTAATCGATTTCTTTCCTATAAAAATGGTAATCTTTAGCATATTACTAGCATATTCCATAGCTAATTTATATTTTTTCACTAAATAAATTTCAAATATATTATATTATGATATATTTATACTTGCTTAGTAAGAGGTTTTCTACTCACTCAAAGAAAACCCTATAATTTTCTGAGAACACTATAAATACATCTAAGTCGCATTTTCTAATCTCACCAAACAATAAACACTTCTTTCAAGCCATGTAGAAATAAACACCGAACATGTAGAAATAAAAGTCAAGATTAAACGATTTTGAAAACAATAGTTTGTTTTTTTTGGGTGAATTCAATAGATATAGTACTAACACAGTTTTTGTTTCTTTTATTTTGTTATAAAACCTTTCATATTTTTTGTTTTGTGTTCCATACAAAGATTCTTTTGGTATTGACTAATGATTGAATTTGTTATGTCTAATGCAGATTTTTTTCTTAACTTTTCCTTGAAGTCAACAAGGCTACACTGAACATGGAGCTAGGGTTGTTGGAGTTCTTGCCATGTCTAGAGTAATTGGTGAGTGAAATCTATTGTGATTCGACTTTGTAAAACTATTTTATTCTGGTGGAATAGGCTTTGGACAAGATTAGGTTTGAGTCGTTGACGGACAAGAGCAAGCTCGATGGTCAGCCTGAGCTATTCCTTCATATCATTCCCGACAAGACTAACAACACCTTGAACATTATCGATAGTGTGATTGGGATGACTAAGGCTGGTACGTAATTGATTTCAGTTAAAAGCAATTTGTATTGGTTTTTTGTTTATTAATATTGCATCCATATCATCAGCTTCAACAACTTGGTGGATCACATGGTAATATATTAAATCCTTTGATTGTTTGAATCATAGTTTTACGACAAGTAATATTTATTTTGGTTTATTGCCACGTTTGCAGTTGCTACACCTAAACAGATTAGAGATCTCATGAAGGTGAAGGTCGATGGTTTAACTAATGACGAAGTTAAAAGCCATTTACATGTAACAAATAGTATAATCATTTTACGTTCTCACTATATCATAGATTCATAATTTTAACTTTCTTGATATTTATAGAAATATAGATTGCACACAAGAAGACCAGCTACTCCGGTAGTAACAAACGGTGGAGAAATCCACAACAACTACAATTCATGGTGGTGGAAGGAATTTGGGTGCTGTCGCACGATACAACGAATAATAGAGTTTACGCTCTGGTGGCGGTTCAATCTTCACCGTCGGGAGAGAGAAGTAGACGGCGCTGCAAATCGCCGACAACATCTTCTACACACACCACACCGTCTTCCTCTATCATAGATAGTTCACGATTTGTATGAAAATTGGTTTTCTTCATTAATTTGTTTTGTAACCAAGAATGTTCGTTCGAGGTTTAAGATTTTTGAATAAATTTGTAACGATAGAGATACATTACACACAATTGAATAAAATAAGAATTTTGATCTTTCCAGTTTTATGATAATAATAATTCTTTGTCTCTTGATATGGCTAAATATCATAAAAGACTTTATATTTGTAGTATATAGAAATCAACATCTGATTTGGTGAATTATATTTGTTATACATGGAATTGTGCAATGTATAACACAACAACAACAAAAAAAAAAACTTAAACACTTAGTACTAATATTTATGTTAACCAAATTGTGAATCATTTTTATTTACTAACGTTTAATTTTTATAATTACTTTTCGCATGATCCATTACTATTATATATTTTACAAAGTAAACATGTAAAAATATTATCAATATATTATGCATAGATACTACACATAAAACATTTAAAGTATTATGATATTTAAATTCTATAAAATGTTTAATATTAATAATATTTGAACTCTATAAAATTTAAATATATATATATATATATATATATATATATATTATGGAAACCATTTTTAAAAAAAATTTAAATTGACTCAAATTATATTTCTTTTAAAGAAAAGTATTATTAAAAAGAAAAATAACAAAATGAGGTTTAATTTCACGGAAGAGAGTTATATGGTGGGACGGGTTTGAGTCGATATTAATACGGGACGGTATATATATCACAGGTAAAATCCTAAAATTAATAATCAAAATAATCTTAAATACTTAACAAAATAAACAATATTAAAAAATACAAATAAAAATTTAATTTTAAAGTTAAATAAATCGACATGCGGTATACAACGGGGTAAAATCTGGTGATACTGGGCCAAATAAGTGAATTTATGTGGTTTTTTAAAAACAACATGATATTGGGCCAAATACAGTTAGAAGTGAGCAAACAAAACCCAATATAGCCCACGTAAAAACTTCAACACAATACAAATATATTTTGTTGTTATCAATGACACAATGCAATTATGAATACCTAATTGAACCAAATAATTTGTTAATCTCATATAAACAAAAATAGAATTCTAATGCAGCTAAATATATTTTATATACAATACAATATTCTCTCTTTCTTTATTACCAAATCATGTTTTTCAACCAAGTTAGATTAAACAACATTTAGTTACTATAATAAAATAATCCAATATGATATGGAATATAGATTTAAAATTTATTATCTATATTATTATTTAAGTCTACAAATAAAATATACAACCATTGTCAAATGAAATATACAACATTATATCCAAATAGTAATAAAAATAAAACATTAGGATATATTTCCTTTATTACTATTATATTATATTATTATTTAATTCTTCAAATAAAATCTATAATTTGATTCATACAAAATATTAAATCCCGTGCTATAATGATCTAGTTTTATTTTATAAAGCTGATGCATGTATCAACAATTTTTGAGATGATTACATGTGTTAATATTAGTAATAAATTTTCTTATTTAGATTTCCAATTTCAAACCTTATCTAAAATTTAAAATAATAATATATATGTTTATTTAAACTTCAATTCTAATTTTAAATTCCTATATTAACATATTCTATAGACATTGTTTAAGAAATTAAATTTTTAGTATATAAGTACAAAGAAATCTGAAATTTCCCAATTTATATATTTAAAATGTTTTGAAATATATTCATTTGTAAGAAAAATATTTAAAAAAAAAACATTTATTCTCAAAAAATTATGTGAAAAAATTAATAGGTGTGTCAAGTTTGCATGTAGTTACAGAATTTAAGGATAATGAATATGTCAAATTGACAAGAATTTTGACGAGGGTTAAGAGACACTCATGCTCCAGTGCCGATCCAAAGTTTCTAAAATTTTTGATGCCAAATGCATATCTACCCGATTGGGCCTTTTTGTTAATGTAAATTTTTTTTTCCTACCAACAAATAGTGTTTAACAATGTGATGCACATCCACATGTTCTTATTTGTGTGTTATTTTTTATAATCTTATTCCATCATTCCACGAGACAATCACGTAAGGAAGAAAACTTGTAATAAATACGTGGAATCAAGTTTTGCAAACGGTTTAAGGTAACAAAAACTTGGGCTTGAAGAAATCAACGAACAACAAGGTTTCATTAGCACGTCTCTCCATCACACTGCTCCGTTTTAACTGAGGAAAGAAAAGCCAACCACCGGTCAGACACACAAATCCCACCGTGACCAGCCGCGACACAACCGGTCTCACCCGCCACCGCCCCAAAAAATTCTTCTTCACCAACACTTCAACCACCGTGCAAACTCCATGTAACACAAAGAACCAAGTGACTTCCCCGGTAGGCGGATCACGGGTTACAAAAATGAAGAGCACCTCGTGAGCCACACCGGAGACTAAGAACGTCGCTAAAACACCAATGATCATAGCCCGCTCGGAGTTTACTAAGTGTCCGCAAATTCGCCTCACAGGAGAATAAACACTTGACCGGAGAATAGCCGTGACCGTGAGATTCCACCGGCGACCCCAAAAGTCTTGAAGAGAGGTGGCTAAGTATGGCTCGTTGAATTGAGGCTCGAGGTCGCAACCAAGAGTGATTGTGACTAGAGATTTGAGAAGGGTCAAGAGAATCTCATGCTCTAAGTATACATGGAGAGGATAGAGGCCTAATAGTAGAATCGAAGGGAGATATTGTATGTAATCATACACATGTAACAACACACCAAAGATTCCAACTTTAACTGCAAAAAACCATTTGGGGAAATGGTTAATGGATTTAGGGTTTTGTTGAAGCTTGATGGGTAAGCAAGTCAAGGAAATGAAATGGGAGAGATTTTGGGGAAGTGGGAAAAGAGGGCCTTGCTCATAGGAGAATTGTATGAGCTTTAAACTTGCAACTGAAAGATAAAACGCTGTGTGTGAACAGAAAATCGTAGAGGATAAAAACAGAGGAAGGACGAGGAACAGAGCACATACTGGAAGAACTGAGAGTAATCGAGGTAAACCAGCTTTGATTTTCGGTGATACGTAGTAACAGTAAGATACTGAGATTATTGCAGAAAGCCATACTAAAATGAAGTTCTTGACATCTTCCTCCATCTCTTGAGAACCTTTCTTCTTTTTTTTTCGCTTTGCTAAGTTTTCGAAATCACCTAGGTTATAACTTGATCGTTGCGTGTAATATATATACACAAGAATCAGAATGAAATTAAGGCATGTGGTTTTACAGGTAGATAACGGAAGAAGCTTCGGAGAGTGATCCAGCTTTTGCTTCTATAGTGGTCCACTGGTCCTAGTTAAGTTTAGTCTTGTAATGCAAATTAAAGTTTTTTTAATATTAACTTACAGAATGAGATACATATTAATTAAAATGAAGAAACTTAATTTTTTCGTTAACTTCTAAGTTCTAACGCTGAAACACATACTTCACTTTTTTGTAAGTTTTATTCATTAATGATTTTATGAAATAATGTGATTGATCAATAACCCGAATATTCTTCACTGGGGAAAATCAACTAACTTGCGTTTGAAGAAATCAATGAGCAAGGAGATTTCATTGGAGCATCTCTCCATCAGGTTGCTCCGTATCAACTGAGGAAAAAACAGCCAACCAGCGGTCACATTTACAAACCCCATCGTGAGCAGCCAAGATACGGCTGGTCTCACCGGCCACCTCCGTACAAACGCCGTCCTCTTCACAGCCACTTCCGCCACCGTGCAAACTCCATGTAACACAAAGAACAAAGCGACTTCCCCTGTAGGCATCTCACGGGTTATATAAAAGAAAACCACTTCATGAGCCACACCAGAGACTACAAACGTCACAAAAATACCAATCAACATTGCATAATTAGAGCTCATTACGCCTTGGCAGACATGCCGCACAGGAGTGTAGACGATTGCCCGAAGACTCGCCGAGACTATGAGGTTCCACCGGCGACCCCAAAAGTCTTGAAGAGATGTGGCTAAGTATGGTTCGTAAAAATGTGGCTCTAGGTCACAACAAAGAATATATAATGATGGTCATTAGAATTCTAAGGAGCGTTAAGAGAATCTCAAGTAACAAATATATATACAGCGGATGGAGAAACAATAGCATAGTAGGAGGAAGATTTTGTATGTCGTTATGCACATATAACAAGACAACAAAGATTGCAACTTTAACGGCGAAAACATGCCTGGACAAATGATCTTGAGATTTAGGGTTTTGTTGACGCTGGATTGGGAAGCAAGTAAAGCAGGTGAATCTGAATAGATTTGAAGGTAGTGGAAAAAGAGGACCTTGATCGAAGGAAAAGAGGATGAATCTTAAATTGGCAATAGCGGATAAGAAAAACGCTGTGGTGGAAGAAAAAATTGAAAAGGAGAAGAACAAAGGAAGAACAAGTAACAATGCACAGACTGGGAACATAAAGACTAATCGAAAAACACCAGATTTGATTCATGGTGGTAAGAAGTAACAGTAAGATACAGAGATTATTGTTAAAAACCCTACTTTGATCAAGCTCTTGATTTCTTCCTCCATCTCTCAGATTTTTTTTTTTTTTTTTTGTGGATTGTTGAGTTTAAGCAATAACAAAGGTTTTAATATTGGTTTTGCAACAACTACAACCCACCCACTACTTCCCTTATGTCAGTATTAGAATCAGTCCTTTGTTTGTTTACAAAAAAAATAAAAAAAAATCAGAACTCTCTAAACGCCTCTATGTAAAAGCTTCATTGTAATTTGATATAGTGTGAATTAGATGAAGAACCAAAAGTGTGCCAACTAATTAATATCCAAAAAAAAAGGTGAGAAACATATAAGGGGTGATTGGTGCAAGCTTTAGAGCATCTCCAACTTACCTCTATATTTACCTTTAAACACTATTTTAGAGGCAAATCTATTTCAACTCACTTCTATTCTCACCTCTAAAATAGAGATATCTATTTTTCCTCAATAAATAGAATTAAACTTTTCTAAAGAAAAAATTTTGAGGAATACATTGGAGTAAAAATAGAGAAAATTTACCTCTATTATAGAGATAGAGGTAAAAATAGAGAAATACATTGGAGATGGTACCGTAACTTTATTTAAAGTTTTAACCGCCAGTTTTTCACAAATCACACTTATACTAATCTATGTGTGGTATTGTCGTAGAGAATATCTCAGATGTATGGTTCAATTGTTCATGTAGATGAGGCTATCGGCGTAAGATGGTAGTTCTCCGTAGTTATCAATATGGGAGAATTCACATGGCTCAACTTCAAGTGAAATTTAACACCTAGACCTAACCGTCCATAAATATGAATCACCGATTTAATTTTAATCGATTAATATAAATTCATACGAGGAATGTCGTCCCTTTTGATGTATCAACTTTCGTAAATACTAAATACTTTTTATCAAAACAAACTTTCGAAAGTACTATTAAGGGAAAATCTAATCAAAAGACTATACTATACCGTAATATTTTCAGTAAATTTAAGTCATATTTTTTTTTCAGGTTTCTTTATTTTCAGTATAGATGAAGAATGCAATTTTGTTATCAAACATCTATTAATCTATTAACAAGATCTAGTTAATAGATAAACAATAATAAATTTTAGTTTTATTCCGCAAAATGATTAGGGTAATCTGCGAGTTAATTTATTTGACCGTCTCAACGAAATGTATATAACAATAGACACACTAGGATTTCTTACTAATAACTCTCGTTGAAACACGATTAACTGCATAAAACGATCTGGTGAATTCGTGATTCGATCCATCTTGCACTTGCACATTATCCAATACTCGTAAACAACCCTATCAGAATAAATAACTTGCGATTAAAGAAATCAATTAAAAACAAGTCTTCATTGATGATGAATCTCTCCCTCAAGCCGTGCCTAATAGGATGAGGGGAAAATAGCCAAACACCAGTCACAAACACAAACCCCACCGTAAGCAGTCTGGACACTGCCGGATTCACCTGCCACCGCTGCACCAACTTCGTCTTCCTCTTCACTGCCACTTCAGCCGCCATGCAAAGCCCGTGTAACACAAAGAACCAAGTCACCTCCCATGTAGGCTTCTCACGTGTCAAATAAAAGTAGAGAATCTCGTGAGCCACACCAGAGACGAGGAACGTGGCGAAAATCGCGAAGAACCTATCCCACTCGGAGCTCTTTGCTCGCCATTTCCGTATAGGGAGGTACACTGCGAGCCAAAGAATCTTCGAGACCATGAGGTTCCATCGGTGACCCCAGAAGTCATATAGAGAGGTGGCTAGCTAAGTATGGTTCATTGAATTGTGGCTCGAGATCACACCCTAGAGTTATACTGACGAGAAATTTTATCAAGGTCAAGGAAATCTCAAGCTCTAAGTATATATGCAGAGCATAGAGACCCAATAGAAAATTCGGAGGAAGAAATTGTTTGTAATCATACACTTGTAGTAACAAGGCACCAAAGATTAAAACTTTAAGGGCAAAAACCCATTTGGGGAAATGGTTAGGATTTCCAGGGTTAGGGTTTATTTGAAAATTGATGGGGAAGCAAGCAAAGCAGATGAATTGAAGGAGATTATGAGGAAGTGGAAAAAGAGGACCTTTTTCTAATGCAAAGAGGATGAGTTTTGGAACTGCAAGACCTGAGAGGAAAAAGGCTATAGTGAAAGAGAAATGAACAGTGGAGAAAAACATAGGAAGAGCAAGAAACAAAGCACAAACAGGAAGAACATAAAGTAATCGAAGTACACTGGTTTTGATTTTCAGTGGTAAGTAGTAACAATAAGTTACTGAGATGATTGCAGAAACCCATACTTCGATGAATAAATTGAGTTCTTCCTCCATGATTAATGGTTATACTTATATGATGTACCACTACAAATAGGAAATGTTTTTTTTTTGATAATCAAAATAGGAAATGTTTACAGTTGTAGTATATAATCGTGGGAGAGCAATTAAAAAGTACAGTATGTTTGTTACACTTTCCTCTTTTATGATATAGTACTATAGTAGGAGTAGTATTTAAAATTAAATAATTTAAGTTTTACCATTTATAGTTTAAAATTTAAATACAAACACTACAAGAAATATCTACATTATTAGCAAGAGATAAGAGCTATTATATGTCATTAATAGCGTTTTCATAAACGCTGTCTTATGCCCCTGTTATGGTAGATCCCCTACATACGATAGCGTTTTTTCCGTATGTTATTATAGAGCATTCTACCATAGCATTAGGCAAACGCTTTGATATAACGACTTATAATAGTGATATATATAAGCTATGATCTATAATTTTTATGATGCTATAATATTCAGTTCCATAACTCTAATTTTATGCGGTTGTTTTAAACTATTTGTATTTGGTGGAACCTGTTTAATTTCAAAATATCCAATATAAATATAATAATAATAATAATAAACATCCAAAAGATATACATCATTTCATAAACCAAAAATCAATTCATACATAACACAAGTCTCAATCCAATACTTAAACTAATATCCTAACTTCTATATACTACTTTTGCCAAGGAAGTTATTGATGAGATCATGCAAAATCCTTACTTCGTTTTCTAGATATTGGACTCGATTCCTCAAGGAAGTTAGCTCAGCTTCACAGGTTGTTGTAGTCTCTTCCTTTCTCTTAGGTTCTCGAAAAATACTGCTACCTTTTCTCTTAGATTTCTCCCAAATACAGCAGTCTTCATCTATGTCACTGTCGTCAACGACGAGATTCATTATATCTTTTGTTAGAACATGAAATAAAACAAGTAAAATTCAGGCTTCTTGACCAAAAAATTATTGAGTCACTTTATTAGTAAACAAATCTCTTTACTCACCTGAAAAATCAACCTGCGATTGAGACATATCTTTAGCCTGAGAAGAGACTAATTCCATTTCCTTTGTACCTTTACTTTCTCCAAGAAACTCAAGACCATCACTTGTATCCAACATCGGTGACTCATAGACATAACTCGAAAACCACTTACTTAGATCAGAAACTTCTGAGAATTCTGAAAACAGAAGTGAAGAACCACATAAATAAAATCAATGCAGTTAAAACAACAAGATATACAGATCTTCCCAACCAGCCAAGCAAATTCGGAAAACAGATTCCAAGAAAATGAGTTACCTTCACTATCATCCATCTCTTAATTCTTTCTATTCGCTCCTCTTTCACCTTGGTATCCTCTACATTGTCTTTGTCCTGAGTGCTTCCGTTAGTCTTTTTCTTTGGCTGCCCGACCTCCACTTTCTATCTCTCTCTTTAAGAGCACTTAGAGAAATCTTATGCAAGAAAAACATTAGAATATAAAAAACTTAGGGAAATTAATAATCAACTAAGAATATCAGCATCTCTTGTCTATATATATATATATAAAACTCTAGCAATCCAAAATCATAGACCAACACAACAATCAATTTGAAACACATATAGAGACAACAATAGCAATTCAAGCAGTTCTTGATCTTGCGAAAGATCAACACTTTATGTCAATTAAACATAACAGTCTACTCTACTTAGAATCATACTTTCATAATCAGCTTAATGGTCCATATAAGCAGATTATTACACTTTCATCTACTTAGGATAATACATTCTCAGTTATTATACCCAATGGAACCTAAATACAAAGAAGGGGACAATGAAGCTTAAAAACTACACGGGCTAAAGAAGAAACGAACTTACTTCCATTGTAATGGTGAACACCAACTTTAGCAAGCATTGCGTAGTACTCAATCTCTGATTTTCTCAACGGTGGACAATTGTGGAGATTGCAATAATGTTTCCTGTGAACAAAACAAGAATAAACAACAAAAAGCTAAAACATTTAGGTATGCACACAAAAAGCTAAAACAAAAGTGGACAATTGTGGAGATAGCAATAATCATATATGAGTTGATAATTGTACCTCGAGACCAACTAATTAAAATCTTAAGGACCTTCCAAAGAAAAACCAGACCTCTTATCTACTGTTCTACCTGTTAATGACCTCAAAGGTAGAATCTTAAGCACCTGCAAGTTTCAGCATCAACACCACAAAACAAAAATCAACACAAAACATTTCAAAACTCTAATTTTTATTCACAACAATTAGATTTTTATTCACAAAACAGTTCTAGTAATACTAATATCAAATAAGATATGTATAGCTAATAGGAATCAGCTTACAGAACGACAAATAATGTTAAGAAACAAGCAAGCCAATAATGAGGCAATTCGTCGAACACCTGGAGGGCATGAAAAGCATCATCAGAACTTCGGCCAAAAGCTTCTAAGAAATCAATCTAACCCAAATAGATCAACTGAACCCTAACAAAATCTAACTCAAGTGCTCATAAATCAATTGAACCCTAACAAAATCGTACATGCGGAGGAAAAAGAAAAGAATAAAGAGGGAGGAGGCTGACTTAATTGAATGGTGAAGCACCGAGCGTCGAAACTGGTTTGGGGTTTCAGGCCAACGAAATCAAAATCCAATATATCCAGAGCTGTATAATCGTAGGAAGAGAGTGAAGAGGTAAAGGAGAGCTAAGGAGAAGGGAATAATCTAGGAAGAAAAGAAGAATCGAGGAAGAAAGCGAAGAGGTAAAGGAGAGAAAGAGGATGGAGAAGATATATAGAAATTAGGGTGGAGGCCGGCGACGAGCTTTACGGTGGAGGCCGGCAACGAGCTTCACGGTGGAGGTCGGCGACGAGCTTCACACGAAATCCCAAATCTCTTTCTTCGATTTGGGATGTTTTTTTTTTTGGAGATATGTTTTCTATAGGGTAAAGTGAAGGGTTTTATTTTTTTGGACTTTGGCTTTAATTTTTTTGGATCAGAGCCATATGGCGCTAAGTGAATTATTTCGCTAAGTTTTGGCGGAACGACTGATTTTAGTTTTTTATTTGGTGATTTTTTATCTTAGCGTTGTTTCAGTGCTATTATATAAAATTAAAATAAAAAACTTATCTTTCATAGCAGTTAGAGAAAATGAGCTATCATCATGTGCTATCAATGTGGAAATTTTTTGTAGTGAAAATATAGAAAGCTGCATAACAGAATAACAGTTTCTGAAAAGCAAATTACCCAATATAAAAACAATTTCAGAAAATTCCATATGCAGTAAGATCAACTCTAGTTAAATTAAAACAAACTGTAATTATGTTTTCATATATATTTTTTCACGACTTGTGTTTTCATATATATAATTAATAAAGTTTAAAATACTTATGTATATATAGATACACACGTTCTAATATTTCAACAGAAATATATTTTTACACTTCATGTAAAAAACACAATATAATGGTTTTACTTTAAAAATAATATTATATGTATATGGATCAAATTATTTTCCTGAGCCATGTGGATATAGTACACTTAGTTGGGGTGTAATTATTACACATTTACACTATATAAGATAAAATAATATACTTTGAAAACACTAGAATCCACAAACTATTTTGTGAAAACCAAATCTGAAATTAAAAGGTACCAAACCGACCAAATTTATTTTTAGCATTGCGGGCGGACACTCGTCATAAATATCCCCAACAAAGTAACTAACTTTTGCTTCACGAAGTACTCAACTAACAACACAGCTTCATATGTGAACATCTCCATCACTCCGCTCCTTTGAAGTTGAGGTTGTAAACAACCAACCACGAGTCTGTCAGTCCAGGGCCGGCTCAAAAAAATTAAAGACCCTAAGCTGAAAAAAACAATTGGCCCTAATTTCTTATATTTATATATATATATATATATATATATATATATATATATATATATATATATATAAATTTTGGACCCTAATTTTAATAAATTTAGTTGAAAAAAAAGATAAAAATTTTGGACCCTGTGCATGAGCACTCCCCGCACATGGGGAGAGCCGGCACTGTGTCAGTCACAAACACAATCCCCTTAAGCAGCCATGATACCATCGGACTTACTATATTATTTGACAAAATTGGCAAACTAGACACCTTTTGAAATAATAATTTGAATAATAGACATCTCTCATAAATAATTGACATAATAGACACATTTCTCTCTCTTCCTCTAATAAAACGCTCTATTAGAGAGGATTTTGTGTAATTACTTAATTACCCTTTTTGTTGTTTTCTACATATATTTTCTTTTTATTTTTTTTCTTTTCACTTAAATCTTTTTAGTATGCTTTGTTAAAAATTACTCATAAACATTTTTATCACAGTAACATATTAATTTTTATTTTTCTAATATGAATCTAAAAAGTCAAAATTAGCTATTTTTATGTGAATTTAATTATTAACCTTAATTTGACAGCTACGAAGTGAGATACAAACAACAATCTCTTAGTGGTGTACAACTATAAAATACGATGGTGTACGATAATGATGCAAAAGGTAGTGTACATGATATTGATACTGGTACATAAAACGATGAGATGGTGTGTCGCGCCATACACCACCTCGTGTGCCGTCTACAACACTACACACTTTCACATATTGTACACTAAGTCTACAAAAGAGAGAACTATTTTCGTCAATGTACGTGATGGTCTCTATGAGATAGTGTACAAACATTAGTGTACGAGATGATGAGGTGTACGAGCGTAAGTGTATTTAATGGTTGAAGAGATATTGTATAAATATCGGTGTACGGGATAATTTAGTGTACATGTGTTAGTGTACACCACGTCTATTAAAAAGTTAATCATTTTCGATCGGTGTACGTGATGGTCTATGAGATAGTGTACAAACATTAGTGTACGAGATGATGAGGTGTACGAACGTTAGTGTATTTGATGGTTTAAGAGATATTGTACAAATATCGGTGTACGAAATTGTTTAAGTAATATTGTACAAATATCAGTGTACGAGATGAATTGGTGTACATATGTTAGTGTACGAAACGATATTTAAAAGTGGTCCCAAAATATCTATTTTTAGACAAGGGTTATTTTAGTCTTAACATACAGTTTTGTCTTTTTCTCTATTACACAAACATTCTATCTCACAAAAAGTTGAAAGTATCTATTTCTCAAATTATTTTTCAAAAGTACCTATTTTTCTAATTACTTTTCAAAAAGTGTCTATTTTACCAACAAACCCTTGGTGATTCTGTAATACTCCATCCGTTACAAATTAAATTATCGTTTTAAAAGTTAAATTTGTTCAAATTAGTTACTGTTTTATGTTTTAATATAGATTTTTCTACAAATTTCTAATTTATTTATCAACGATATCAAATAAAACAATACATTAATTAAAGATAAAATAGAAAAAAGTAAATTTTTTTAGTCGCATGAAAAAATCCATAATTTGAAAAGGATAGAGAATCAGCATGTTTATTATTTTCCAAAATATCATGATTCCACGACTCCCAAGAAAATAAATAAGTCATGCTTGAAATCAGTGAACAACAAAGATTCACCGGCGAATCTCTCCATCGCGCCGCTCCGTTTGAACTGAGGGAAAAACAAGCAACCAGCGCTCAAAACCACAAAACCCACCGTGAGCAGTCGTGAAACAGCCGGTCTCACCACCCATTGCCCCACGGACGTTTCCCTCTTCACAATAACTTCAACCACCGTGCAAACTCCATGTAACACAAAGTACCAAGTAACCTCCCATGTAGGCGCTTGACGGGTTACATAGAAGAAAACTAACTCATGAAGCAAACCGGAGACGAGGAACGACGCCAAAACACCAACAATTATAGCCCGTTTGGTGTTCATTATGTGGCTGCATACTCGCCTTACAGGGATAAAGACGCTTGACCGGAGAATAGCTGAGACCAGAAGATTCCACCGACGACCCCAAAATTCTTGAAGCGAGGTGGCTAAATATGGTTCGTTGAAAATTGGCTCAAGGTCGAACCCAAGAGTGATAGTGAGCAAATCTTTGAGGAGCGTTAAGGGAATCTCAAGTGATAGGTATGTATGCAGAGGATAGAGACCCAATAGCAGAATCGGTTGCAAATACTCTATGTGACTATACACATGTAAAACAACTCCAAAGACTAAGACTTTGACAGCAAAAACCCATTTGGGAAAAGGATCTTGAGATTTAGGGTTTCGTTGCGGGTGGATGGGTAGACAAATGAAGCAGAGGAATTGGATGAGATTTGGGGGAGTTGGGAAAAGATTACTTTTATCAAAAGCAAAGAGTATGAGCTTCAAATTGGCAATGGATGTGAAGAAAGTCGATGTGATGAATGAGAAATGCGCAGATGAGAAAAACAGAGGAAGAACAATAAACAGAGCACATACGGGAACAAAACAGATTAATCTATAAACACCAGCTTTGATTTTTTGTGATACGTAGTAACAATAAGATACTGAGATTATTGCACAGGCCCAAGCTTTGATGAACGTTTTGAGCTCTTCTTCCATCTATCTCATATCTTTTTTTTTGTGTTAATGGAATTTTGCAATCACCGAGCTGGGTTATAATTGGTTGTTTGCGTGAATAATAAGTAACAATCTCTCAGATTTGTTGTGTTTGTGACTTGTGAGTTTTCTTGTAAGGTTTTAAGTTAAGTGTTGCGTGTATAATAAGTAATGGGGATGAATTAAACCTTAAACCCTAAATAGCAAGAAGTTAAGGCATGTGCTCGTATACATTAACGAACCATGTTTGCTTCTACGTTCTGTCTAATGAGGCTGGTTTCAATGGGATCAGTGTGATGTACGATATAACAAAACACTTATTTCATTCTTCAGTTCCAAGTGAAAACGAATTGTCAAGTACTACCATTCAGCGCAGTTTTTCTGGGGCATGTAGAGACCAAGAGACATGCTGGCAACATCTTAAAGATTGTAATAGACAAAACAAAATCAAACCAAAATTCAAACTCTTTAAGATGTTACAATCTTTATTGCCAACAAAGTAAATAACTTGTGCTTAACGAACTCAACGAACAACACAGCTTCATATGTGAATCTCTCCACCACGCCGCTCCTTTTAAGCTGAGGTGTAAACAACCAACCACCAGTCACAAACACAAACCCCACCGTAATCAGCCGCGAAACCGCCGGACTTAACCTCCACCGCTGCATCACCGTTGTCTTCTTCTTAACCGCCAATTCAGCCGCAGTACATACGCCATGTAACACAAAGAACAGAGTAACTTCTCCAGTGGGCATCTCACGTATCATATAGAAGAAGAGCAATTCATGAACCAAACCAGAGACGATGAACGCCGCTAAAATCCCCGGAAACAGAGCCCACCCGGAACTCATTTTGCGTTCAGAGACTCGCCGCATTGGAGCGTAAACTGCTGGACGGAGAATCGCCGGAACCATAAGATTCCACCGACGACCCCAAAAGTCTTGTAGAGATGTGGCTAAGTATGGTTTATTGGACTGTGGTTCAAGATCGCAGCCAAGAGAGATAAAAACAACAACTTTAACGAACGTTAAAATAATCTCAATCTCTAAGTATAGATGCACAAAATAGAGACCTAGTAGTACAGTCGGAGACAGATTTTGTCTGTAACCATACAAATGTAACAACACACCAAAGATTGCAACTTTAATGGCGAAAACCAATTTAGGCAAATGGTTTTGAGATTTAGGGTTTTGCTGAACCTTGATGGGGAAGCAAGTGAAGCAGAAGAATCGAGAGAGATTGGTCGGAATTGGGATTAAAGGACCTTTATCGAAGGAGAAGAGTATGAGTTTGAAATTAGCAAGCCATGTGAGGAAAAACGCTGTGATTAAAGATAAATGCAGAGATGAGAAAAACAGAGGAAGAACAAGAAACAGAGCAAGAACAGGGGAAACAGAGAGGAATCGAGGAACACCAGATTTGATTCTAGGTGGTAAGTAGTAACAATAAGATATCGAGATTATTGCTGACACCCATACTTTTATCAAGTTCTTGAGTTCTTCATCCATCTCTCAGATCTTTGTTTGTGTTGTTGATGTGTTTTTTTTTGGCAATGAAGCTATTTTTTTTATTTGTCTTGAATGGGAAAAACTATAGTTACATGGTTACAGAGACAACCACAATTACATAAAGTAGGTGATATGTAGATTAAAGGCTACAAAGAAGAGCATTAATATCGAGTCCTTGGGTAGTCGTTGAGAGTTGAGTAGTAAATGGTTGTAATATCCCAAACCAACAAATAGTGGAAAATATCTCCTTGGAATGAGGATCGGAGAATGGTTAGTCATTTGGTCTTAGTAAGAATGGATTAAAGGTTTCATGCAACATTATTTTGGTGACTTTGGTCGCGTGAGAAAGTAATAATAACAAATAAGAATACTTGTTAGTTTTTTGGGCAAGGACACAATAATCTTTGGTTAAGCTCTTTTTGTATAACCGCTAAATCTCATCATTAATGATATTTACATTCTTACGAAAAAAGGTATCGTTGTTAGTTTTACAACAGTGTTCGGAAATAAGCCGTAACTAAAATTGGTAGAAGATTAATGCATTATATAGATTTTCGTCCTTGGATTTTTAATCATTCTACCATTTTTCTCTCCAAAATCCCATGATTCTAGCAACTTCATAAAATGTAGGGAGACTCACAAAAATGCCCCTTTTTCAATATCCCTTTTCAAAAATACCCCCTCCCTAATAGCTTTCCTGAAATTGATCATTTTACCCTTAATGAGGCTTTGAATCAGGTTATAACCTAATTAAAAAAAAAAAATCTGGGCACGCCGTCACCCATATCCACACCCACAGGTTCTTAATCGAAATTTCAATTGCTGATCAAATCTTCATCATTCATCCGTTGAGAGTCAAATTGAGAGTTAAATCGACCTTCTTCTTCTATCAATATGATGAATCTCTCCGATCTGGATTCAACTCTTTGTAATCACACAAAAATCCTCTTTAATCTCTTCTTCTTCGGCGTAATTTTGATTTCACAGTTTCAATTTCGATTTCAAAATCAATTGTTGTTTCTGTTTGTGGAGTGATGAATCATGGGACTAGATTGTTGTTTATGTGCAGTGGATTACATCTTTTGTTTTCTGGAGAAGAAAGGCTCGTCAACTTACTTTTGCTTTACCACTTTTTCTTTCTAGCACACGAGTAAAGTACATTAATAACACTTTCTTTTGTCCATTATTAAACAATTTGATTCTTGCATAATGGCCTAATGAGTACATGTGTTAATTTATAAGACTGGAAAGACCTTAAGATTTGATATTATATTGTTTAGTTTGAGTTTTATGTGGTTTTGGTGTTTCTGATTTGTGTTCATAAGATTTTCAGAGAAATGATTGTGATTTGTGTTGTGGATGTGATCTAAAATATATTGTAAACTCTTTTAAATACACGTTGTAAAACTTTTAAAATATCTTGTAAAACATTTTAAAATTTTTAAAATAACTTTTAAAATACTTTGTAAAACATTTTAAAACCTTTAAAATACCTTGTAAAACCTTTAACCTTGTAAAACCTTTAAAATACCTTGTAAAATCTTTAAATTTTAAAAATCTTATAAAACCCTTTATAAAATATTTTCAGTTTTATAAATCATCTTATACCTTATAAATACTTTGTAAAACCATTAAAAAACCATGTAAAATCTTTAAAATATCTTGTAAACTCTTTTAAAACATGTTGTAAAACCTTTAAAATACATTGTAAAACCTTTAAAATACCTTGTAAAACATTTAAAATACCTTATAAAACTAACATCACTATTTCATCAAACACATGTATTGAGTCACTTGTTGTATAATAATAGCAATCACTTTAACAATTAAAGCACCAAATATAACTATCAATAGTGTTACATGGAATTTTCTTATGTTACAAACTTATAAAATATGCATACAAGTTGAGTAAGTACTTTGTGGTACGTAC